TGGTTTGTAGTTCGATGATTCGAATACGTAGTTTCTAATATCTGATCAACTTAATTTTTTATAAGTATGATATACTTAACAAATCTTAAAATGTGAACAGTTTCGGATTATCAAAATTGGATCCAAAAGTGGGCCTAATGACCTAACAAGGAGGGAGTTAAAGAGAAAGATGAAGGAGAGGATCTTGATTCTTATTTTTGCATCACAAGTGCAAGACAGGTGTCATGTAGAGAAGTAATCATCAATTGTGGTTTGAACATAGAAAATTTTTATAAAATGAGACATAATTGTAAGATAAATGGTGTTGGGATTTATACCATATCTCACCAACGTAAACAGAAGCATATCTACACATACACCAAAAAGAAAAACATTCACGCACAGATTTACATAATTCGGCCTAAATTATCTACATACACAGGAGAGAGAGCTTCTACTATGATAAAAATAGAGGAGTAAATTACACTTTGCACCAAATCTCACTTTGGTCCCTATACATGAAATCGTCATAGTTAACCCCTGCACTTTTACTCAAATCCCATTTTGATCCCTACACAAGTGTCAATATCCCTCTTCTGTTACTTCATTTTTAAATCTTTAACAAAATCCTGTTATATGGCAAAAATATGACTACGAAATAAGGGTAAAAGAGGAAAATTATCCATGTTTCCTACCAATACACTTTATCTTACGTGATAAGTACATGAGAGTTATACAATACAATAAGGTGATTAGGAAGCCAAAATTGGGCTTTTTTTGGGAAAAAAAAAATCCACAAAAAGATAAAATATGCAAAAATAGCCAATAAGACAAAATGTCACATCAAATTCATAATCATTTCATTTTTTCTCTCACAAGTATCACATCTAATTACAAAAAAATGCTACCCTCTTCTCAAACACACAAATTTTAGCATACTAAAATAACAAAAAACTAAAATAAGCTACTAAAATAATCAACTTCTCAAACAAGGCTAATATAGATGTTTGTATGGTAAAAATTGAAACGAAAAAGGCAAGAAAATAGGGATTTTGAAATAATAAAAAAAATGTGACAAAGAAATCAATGAGAATGAAAGATGAATAGATAGAAGGCTTTGTTACCGTAAAAAATAGAGTTTCATGATCAATTTATATAAAACTCTAGTTCATTTTTTAATTATTCATAATCTGCATACAATCAAATTTTGACGTAAATTTTAGGATAAAGTGTGTATTGGTGAAAAATATAGATGATTTTTCTTTCTTACCCTGATATCGTAGTCACATTCTTATCACATGAGTAGATTATGTTACAGATTTAAACAATTGAGTAACAAAAATGAGACACTGACACTTAAATAGGGACCAAAGTGAGATTTGACCAAAACTACCGGGGATTGATTGTCACAATTTAATGTGGAGGGACAAAAGTGAGATTTGACCAGAAGTGCAAGGTGTTGACCATCATGATTTCATGTATAGTCAAAGTGAGATTCGGTGCGAAATGTAGGGGTACAAAGTGTAATTTATCCAAAATAGAGAATACATGTGAGATAACCAAAACACTCAAAACTTACACCACTATCTGAACCCCTATGCTCAAGGGTAGTTGAGCCCTTACTCACCTCAGTGCCCTTGGTATTTTTTTTCTCTTACCCCATACATCTCTATTTTGTCCCTCATCACTCTTTTAATCTCTTTCAAGAAAACCTTATACTCTACATAACTATTTATAATAGTCTATCTATGAGAGTACTGATTCCATACAATTAGGTAATCAAATCCTATATATATTAAGCTTCTGAGAAGATTCCAAACTCTATTATTCTAACCCAAATCTATATATATATATATATATATAGATCAACATAATAATTGTATGGGACTCACCTTTATCACATGGGTGGACTAATCCTAACAATCATCCCCTCCACCCATGTGGGATAAATGTTATGTGCACCCTCCAACCTAGGTATCTGCACTCCACCTTCACCCAAAAGATATTGCACCCCCTAAATTGTGTGCCCATAGTATTTGCATTTCATGCAATATTGCCCAAACGTTTTCTTTGTAGCTTCTCGTCGCGCCTTCTTGAGGCATTGCCACTACCACGAATTAAACCTTAATAAAAAAAAGAGACTTGCGTCCTACCTCGGCGCATACCTTCTTGTCGTGACCTCTATCTCAATTTCTATGCCCGAAGCTTCCTCTTTATGAACAATCTGTAACACGTTGTCTTCCTCTTTGGCTAGTATATCCTCTACAACTATTGCTTACAATGTTCAACCATGACTTGTACTTCTTGCTTAATGTTTGACAACAACTTCCCTCTTGTAACAACATACTCCACGAGCTTGTATAAATTGCCAATTATGATGTCCAATTAGAAAAATGACATCTAATTTACCCCACAGTGACTATATTTCCATGTTGATTGAATCAGATTACTCTTGGATTACCCTGGATCACCTACGGTCAAATCCGATCACTTAGATCACTGCTGAATCTACCCAATCCGTTTAAACTTGTTTAGAATCTTAAAATTTTGATCATACCAATGAATCTGCAACGACTGAAAACCTTGGAAACCACCTTCACCTTGAATTTTTCTATTACATACACACACACACACACACACACCAATATAACAGAATTATTCTAAACCGTTGATTTTATGATTTTTGTCACATAAGATCATAACCCTTTAACAAGCCAAAGCCACAAAATCCAAACGATGCCTCCACTGCGTTGCCTTCATTCAATTTTGATTTTTTTTCCCCTTTACTATCAGGATTTCTCTATTTTGTGCGAGTCCTCTATGTGCAATAACAGGATCCTCTGCCAACCGCACATAGGATCGCTGACCTTTAGCTTTGATACTTAGTCTCTCTCAAGAAACTCATATAGTTCACATGACTAATTATAATAGTTTACCCATGAATCCTAATTCCATACAATTAGGTAACCAAATCTTACACATATTAGGGCCTATTTTGTGAAGTGGTTTTCTTTCTTTTTGGCTTTTTTTGAAAAACGTGGAAAAAAGTAGAAAGGTAATGTGACCCAAATAAGCCAATAAGCCAATAAGTTGGCTTGTTTTTGCCTTTTCAAAATCCTAGTAAATTTCGAACTTTACTATTACAACACAAATACATCTATAAACCAACCTAGTAACTATATGAGACCCACATTTATGACATGGGTGGACTAATCTTAACAAATTGTGCGTTCCACATGTGGAGTCTACTATGTATAAGACCCACTCTCTACCTCATATTTATGTTTCATTTTTGTTAAAATTATCTGCGCATTTAAATTTACTCAGTGGTTATATATTTTGTCTTTTGACGAAAATCATGCTGGTTGTGTGTCTCCGGTAAATTAAGGGGTTAAATACTTACTTGATTCAAAAAGTGAAACCAACGATGTTAACTTGATTAGTTAAAACTCCTACACCTTACTAGGAAGCCAGTAGTTCGTATATCCCCATCTATGTGTGGGTCTTATTCTCAACCCGCTTATTAATTGGGCATTCTCTCCCACTTTGAGAGTTTCTTTGGAAAAAAGTTTGTATTATATTTGATCTTCATTATTATGATTATAATTCATTAGGTTTCATGAAGAAAATATCAAGAAAACCTTCATGAAGCTTTTAAAAATAATTTAGTGTGATAGGCAACAAAATAAAAAAAGAAGCTAAATCCTTTTAAGTTTTCAAAATTTATAAAGCATCCCTATGTTATTTAAAATAGTTTCATTGTTAGACTTTAATTTTGAGTTTAGAATTAAGTTAATTCTTGTAAGACCCTATGAGACTCTCAAATTTGGAATGAGAGCTTAGAAATCGAATATAAGAATAATTTTAAATATGGAAATTCAATATTTAATGCATGATATAATAGATGTAAAAAATTTTTTATATGTCTTGATCATATAAATTTAAACCACAAAACTTTTAAACAGTCTAATAGAAGTGACACTACAACAAAACTAACTATTTATGACATTATGTTTACGGCATGCGTTAAATGCATGTCGTAATTAGTACATTCTACAACAATTTTTTTTTTTTTTTTTTTTTTAGTACATTCTACGACTTTTTTTTTTTTTGCAAGCCGTTAATGTTTTGTCAATAACAGTATACATACCATGTAAGTCGTTAATTCATATATTTATGGCATGCAAAAGTATGCCGTAAAAAATGTATGTTTTTACGACTTAGTTGTAAAATATTTGCATTTAAGACGACATACATTTCATATTGTAAAATATTATAACTTTACACGACATGCTAATGAATGTCGTGAAAATTTTGACCAAAAAAAATTGATTTTTTTATGGCATGAAAAAGTATGCCGTGAAAAATGTATATTTTCATGGCATACAAAAATATGTTATAAAATATTTGCACTTAAGACAACATATATTTCATGTTGTAAAATATTAAATTTTATATTTTTTTTGAATTTAGTGATTTTTTTTAGGAAATTTAAAAATATTTTCCTTCTAAGTATATGAATATATGTAAATTATTCGAATTTAAAAAGTAAAAAAAAAAATTTATTTAAAAACTTACACCACACTCCCTCTCATTCTAAATCCATACATGTTTTGGTCCCAAACCCTCTCATTCTCTAGAGAAACTATATTTTAATTATAAATAATAAAAAAAAAACTTAAATGTTCTTAAATATTTATAAATTTCTAGTAGATATAAGAAATTTTTATTTTTTTTCCCAATAAACTAGATATTCTATTTATAATTTAGATTTTTTTAATACAAAAATAATTTATAAACTTATACATAAATCTCTAAGATTTTCTACTCCAAATTATTTATTTATTTATTAATATTGTTATAATTACACATTCTTTGCATCCCGGATTTTTTATTTATTAATATTGTCATTTTTTTAACAAATTTATTACCAATCTGTTTTAAAATAACAATTTTTTTTATCAGAGTTTTAACAATTTATTAGCTTACACATTTTTTCGATTCTTGTATATACGTCTCTCTCTCTCTCTCTCTCTCTCTCTCTCTCTCTCAATCGACATCTCACACAAACACACGAGCACCATCACTGACCACCACTAGCCATTGCCCCTACGATGATGTTAGTTACACGAGTACCAATCGATTGATTCCAAGCCACAATGATGTTAGTTACACGAGCACCAATCGATTGATTCTGAGCTTGGCATTTGATTCTAATTTCGAGCTTGGAGTTCGATTCTAATTCTGAGCCCCTTCCACGGATTTGATTTTCTTTGTGAGTTTCTAACTTATTCAGTTTCCATTTGATTAATTTGGTATATATTGTTGCTTGCATATCTATTTTTTCTGCTTTCTATTTAATTAATTCGGTGAGGCCTTGAATTGCATCCCTTATTCGATTAATTTAGTTTCTCCTCTCTCATCTCTATTTGATTTTGATTTGATTTCTAGAGTTTTGATTTTGATTTCTAGGGTTTTGATTTTGATTTGATTTCTATTCAATTAAGCTAATTTTTTCTCCATTGCAATTTCATTTCAACTTTATAATCTCAAGCAGCAACGATTTATAGAGAGACGGGAGCTTATGAGGTATTTTGAATTGCTAGCTTGTCAATGAAAATTTCTATTGATTTGGTTATGTAACATGTTTTGATGGTTTGAATGTCTCTGTTCTTACAGAAATTGTTTCCAATTGCTAGTTGAATTTTGCTTTGTTCTGAATTTTGATGGAGATATTAGTTTCTTAGTTAGTATTATTAAATTTAACTTGCAAGAAAGATATACTTGAAGTAGGCACAGAGATTAGTGTAAATTTTATAAAATTCATGTTTATTAGCTAACTTTGGGATAATTATTGATTATTAATAAGGTTTATGAATTTTGGAGAAATTGATTTAGTTACCTTGCTTAGTATGAAAAATGGACTTGTTAAAAAGATGGTTTGACTTGGAGTTGTTTTGGTATTTAAAATGTTTTTTTTTTTTTTGGTTATTTTTTATTACTAATTTTACTAGGTTAAGGATTTAATGTGATATTTTTGTACCTTGAGTTTATACTTTTATTATTTCAATTTTTTGGTGACTTTTGGTGTAAAAAGGAAAAAAATGGTGCATTTTAGGTCATTAGGAGCAAAGTCAATATTTTGGGTAAAAATGAACTAATGGTTGATTTTAGCACGTAGGATTAATTTAATGAAGTTAATATGAGTAAAATGGAAAAATTGGACCCTTAGGGAGAAAATGGTAATTTTGATCTTTAAAGACAAAGTGTGATTTTTAACCTAGAGATTATTCTATATTATTAACCATAAGAGCATTTTGGTAAAATGGTTGTAAAGGAGAATTTGGTGAAATTGATTTCGAATTGTTGGCGTATGGTTTGCTCACCCCTTATCTTATAGGTGCTAATGCCGAGTAGACTATTTTTGTTGTTGACTTGTTGAGCATGTTAGTATAGACCATAAGATAATTGGGCCTATGTGCCTTATTTATTTTAGATATATCCTGTTGTAAATTATTTTATGGTCTGTAAAGTAAGTGTTGTATTTTGTTCTTTTGTATTATGATGTATTTACTTTCATTTACTTAGGGTTGTGTTCCATGTGAGGTTGAGTGTTGTACTTGAGAGAATTTCAGTGTTGTTAAACTTAAGGTGAGATTTTTGTAAAAACTATTAACTTGGACATGTTTTTCAATGCAAGTCATTTCCACTAAAAATTCATTTCTTTTGTCATTTTAAGTCAAGGTTTCAATAATAACAGAAAATAGGGTACATTTTCAAGTTTAATAAGATATTGGTCTCCGACTGCGTTTTACGAGGTAAGTCAAATTTTGATAACTTAATGAGAATTGGTTAAGGAACATGATTTTGAGAATGAACTAAGTAATAAAAGGTTCATGCTTAGGTTAATTACTTTTTGCCTAATTAATCTTTGAAAATTGGGTGCTCTGGTTTTGATAACATGTTACACGGTCTTGGATAGAACTCAACCCCAAAAACCATCTATTAAGGTGAGAGTTCCATCATGCTTTTATACGGCACATTACTTTAGTACCTATGCAATGTGGAACTTCACTTCACATCCCCGATATATCATAATATGTCAAAGACATATAGGAGATTCCAAAAAAAATAAAAATAAAGATTCAAATGTGTGTTTTGACATGTTGGACACTTGTCCAGAACTTGTCCATATGCTAGAAGTCTGGGAAACTAATACTTGGGAAGAAGAGAGCGTGTTAGTGCTTCATAGGTTGACAAAGTAAGGAAGTGTCAAGCACATCACTTTTACTAAGAACAACATGATCCCCTCTATATAGTTGACTATAATGCGATCTGCTGTCCTTGACAAAATTGAGGGTATGGTTCACTTTGGCTGGCCTAGAACTCTACTCACCAAACCAAGAAACCTAGAAGTTCCCATTGGTTCATAGCATGACATTGAGGTGCAAAGCCTAGGCATGCCGTGCACTTTGGGTTGTTCGGGCTCCATTCTCAATCCTAGGAAGGTGCAAGTGTATTGGGGGTTGTGCTTAGCAGCACTATGAAAGAATGGCCAAGGTTAGGAAACATTTTGCCTCGCCACATCACTTATGCTCCTTATGATTGAAGACCATGGTTAAAGTTATTTTTATGCCTTGATATTCCTATAGAGCAGGTAGGCATGTAGGAGATTGGCACGTGTCATAATTTCGTTGTACCCCATAGATTTGGAGCACCTTACATAACTAAAGATATAAGATACATTATAACGCTTAAGTATGTTGTCATGAAAATGTTAACCACTGATATACAAAAATATTTGTAATAAATCACAAGGTGTTGTTTGTTCCTTGAAAAATCTATGAGATGAGTATTGTGTAGAATAATTGGTAATTCATTTGGGTCCCTAGAATTTTTGAAGAACTTTGTCTTATTCTTCTTTTTAGATATAGTTTATCTACTCTTCATGTCTTTAATTGTTGGAATTATGTGGTAGCTATATGCATAATGAAGTGTTTTTATGGTTTTTCAAGTGAATAAAGTTGGTTCTGTTACAGAAAGCATTGAAGCTATGAAAATATCTAAATGTGCTGGTTTTTCAATTGCAAACCTTCCAACTGGTTTAAATACGGTAAGTTATGCTCTTTTTAGAAGTCTCAATTGTTATGATATGGTAATTGGTTTAGAGACGTCTTAACCTCTTAAATTAATATCTTTATGTATTATGGATGGAATAATTATTGAAAGAGGAAAGCAAGAAATGGTAAAAACCATGATAACACAATAGACAATGGTAGAAAAAATAAAAATAATACCCATCAACACACATTGGACAAAACCATTTGAATTGTTTGTTGAACAAGCGATAGGACTTGAATGCCTAATTTCTTAAACTACCACCCTTTCTTTGGACCATCTCGCATTTTTAACATGCTACAAGTATGGAAATTGGTTTAGTGCACAAAGCTTACGCTTACAATTCTTGAGGAAAGATAATTAATTGACCTCTCTTTGGATTTCAATTGTCCACAAGGACTTTGTGGGTTCCCTATGAATGTTTGTTTGAGTGGGACAATACCAATTAGGATGATGCTTTTGATGATTCAACTTAATCATGATGAGTTTCTGAATTGTGGTAGTTAATGTAAACTTGTGATCAAGTAAAAATCTGAATAATTATTCAATGACTTATTTATTTGGTATATTAATGTTGAAGTTGCTTTTGTAATATGGAGGTTTATTTTTATGATAGCAAATAAGAACAACATCCTGTCTTTCCTATTCATTCCCGAAGTTCTCATGTTTTTAACTTGTGCTTAGTGATGTGGATAGATAAATCTAGATGATGCCTAAATGCTAAAGAATCATTTCATGATACGAAATATTATACCAAATACTGTGGTATCATTCAATTTCAGGTTATATGATATTCATCGTATTTATTTGACAGTTTCTGAGTTTAAGCTAGCACATCTATAAAGGAAATATGAGAGATGAAATGTGCTTTTCCCTATGCCTTCTTATGCAAGAAGCTGATTTTCAGGCTTTTCTTTATGGTTTTAGTATGTTTGACTACCAGACAATATCTAAAATCAGAAAATATGTCCATAAAATTATTCAGAGTATTGATGTGTGCTCTTGATTCCATTCTATATAATATTCCTTCATTTCATGCTTGTTACTTCTCTTCCATTGATTTCCACAAGCCAGTTGCATTCCTTTTCTTTCTTTGAATTTTTCATTTGAATATCAATAACTCTGTCTAACTTCCATAGTGAAAAGTTTAGAGTTTATGCAGCACAAAGGATATGTCTGACTTCCTTATTTTATTGTCAAACTGTGTATAAAAATTAGAGTTAAAACATAATAATTTTCACTTCTTAAAAGAAAATTGATTGTTGACAATATTAAACAAATGTCTATAAGAAGTAGAGGACAGCTTGGATATTATAAAGCCTTTATCATTTATATGGCCATTTAATTCCAAGAAATATAGTCTTTGTAAAACACTGCATGCTGGTATGATACCTAGCTTATATGTTATTGTCATGTTGTATTTTGGCATTGTTAATGTTCTAATATGGGATGAATGTTATGCAGTATACTTATATACTCTTAATTTTTGTAGGATCAAAGTAATGGCGTGTCGAGCTTAAACAATGTCAAATGCAAGTTGTTGCATTGGGAGGGAACAAACTTGGTGGTTGCAGAAGGCCAAATTGCATCAAGGGATCCCAAGTCAAAGGCACATCATGTGACCTTTGGACCTTTGTGTTGGAAAGTATGGGTGAACCACGTAACAGTCAACGTGCCGTTGTTTCGTTCTACTCATGAAATGTATGATCTTCAAGATGTAATAGGAACTACAGTTGCATGGTGTAGACGCGCCCTCTGGCCTTATGCTACAGTTCGGACTCAATTGGTGTCACGGTCCTGTATCTAATCTCGCAGAGTGCAATGCAAGACCGATGAATCATCAAAGAGTCTAGATCTGGCAAATCGTTTTTGAAAACAGATTTTTTTGAAAGAAGTGCCAAACATGGACTGCTTTGCCAGATATAGAGTCGCCACCTAAATATTTTTTATGGGGAATTTAGGAAACCCTGACTCGGTGCCAAAGGCCACATGTCCGTCATCACCAAAGTTGCCTCGGCTCGGGAGCTTGGGTATGATTGGGGAAGGTCAGCTATGAGAACCCCCTCTCGCCCGATCCGAAGATCGGCCTCTACTAACCATGATATCCGTTTTTGAAAACGTTATGTGTTCTTATTCCGGTTATTAGCCTAGAATTACTATGTTATGCGCACAGCAAACAAGTATAGACCAAATCGCCTAAATTAGAACAAAACGTTTCATGCTTGTTTTGAAAATGGTTTGCTACTCGTAAGTAGGCTAAAATGCAGGTTTTGCCACCCTCAAGTGAGTTTTAGAAAAGATGGTTTTGCCACTATCTAGTAGGCTTAAAACTCACAGTTTTAATGCATTATTCCAATTTAGGTAATTCGACCTCCACCCACAGGCACTCAAGCAGTTATATCACATAAGCAGCTAGCCTCATGGTAATCATGCTATTATGGCAACACTCACACGCATGCGGTATCCTAAAGTGTAAATGCTTACCTAGTACTCCGAGCCAAAACAAAAGCTAGTTAGTAATCAATGCATGATCCTAGCTCATGTTAAGATGGCTAATGCAACACATGCAAGATGCAACTACAATAGGCTCGGCTATTCTAAGATGGAATGTGATGATGCTACAACTAACATGTATTCAGCTTTGGAATTGAAATAAAAATGCAGTTAGTATGATGCGCCGAGCCCGGTGCATGTAAGACAAATGTATGGATGCACGCATGCTATCATACTGTATGCTAATTGAAACATGCCCTAGGCTAACCATCGAAAGCTAGTAAATAAAAGGGAAGAAAGACGTGGGGTTGGGAGACATACACACACTCACGCACGCTTATTATACAATTGCCCTCGCTCGGAGGGTCCGAATAAATATTACAAACCACCTAATTAATTAAATCTCAAGCTAAATAATTAATTACAAAAATTTCTAATTAATTAACAAATTAAATGCAGAAGAAAGGTGGCCGCAGCCCTGCCTCAAGGTGCGCGGACAATGCATGCTTGACTCGTCTCGCCCGGAAACTCGTTGCCATAGCACTGTTGCCTCTGGTTGCACTGCCCTGCTCCTCTGAAAATTCTCACAAGCCCCAAGGATGCTTATATGGACACTGGGGAGCATCACTGACCGAGTGGGGACATCATTGGCCAAAGGGGATGGTCACCGGCCATAGATCAAGCTTATCGGCCACAAATTATTGGTCGGTCGGCACTCCTGGTAGCCGACCGGCCAAAATTTCCTGCAGAACCTGCAGTTGATAGCAGCAGAGGGCAAGCAGTGTATGGCATGGCATTTTTTTGAGCAAATGTGAGCATGGACACACTCTCTATCATGCAAGGGACTCAAGGGAGCATGACCCACGACCCTCGGGCCATCAATTGCGCATTTTGACGCGTGATGGCCTAAGAGGCCAAGTTTGCAATTCAATGTGAATGAATGCAACAAAAGAGATGAGTGCCTACACCCTATCATATTGAAGTCAAGGGCATTGGCTACCGAGGGTTGAGATGTGTTTCGTCACTTGGAGTACGAACACTCCTCACCCCTCAAGTTTGGTTTGACACCCCAAACCAAACAATGCAATGTATGTATACAAACTTGGCTCAAAGATACAACATGAGGCTAAGTTGCAAAGCATGCCAAATGTGATGCAAGCTAAACATGCAAATGTACAATGCTAGGCATGTAAGATGCAATGCAATGCAATCAAACATGTAAGCTAAGACAAGAAATGCAACTAGCTAATAATATGCAAGCATGCAAGTATGATACAATGCAAACATGAAACCAATGCAACATGATCATGCAATGGTGGACCTAAGACACAAAGGGCAGACCTCAACCCACTCCCAAAACAGTAACCAAAAATGCCAAAAAGGATAGATAAATGTTCACGCAAACATGCATACTAATAGGCCCAAAACAAGGAGCATTCTACTACAACTACCCCAAACACTCATGACATGCATCATGCAACCAAAAACAGAATTTTAATGTCCCAAAATAAGCCAAAAATGCCAAAAAGGATGGATAAATGTTCACGCAAACATGCATACTAATAGACCCAAAACAAGGAGCATTCTACTACAACTACCCCAAACACTCATGACATGAATCATGCAACCAAAAACAGAGTTTTAATGTACCAAAATAATCCCAAAACCCATTGTTATGGCAACTCAAAGCCTAAAACACATAGGCATGTACAATGCTCATTTCAAGGCACAACAAAATAACTCCCCTAAAGCATGAAAGAGATGATGAGTGTATGCATACAAGCATGATTTATGGACTGAAACATGGTCCCTAATGATTCCAAATCATGAGAATAAGCTAGGCTAAGCATGCTAGAGACCCACATGCTCAAGGCTCACAAGCCAAAATGCAAAGAGGCTACCCTAAACATGGCAAATATGACTAAAACAGCCCCCAACAGTCCTTGAGCATGGCAAAATAATGCTAAGACCTTCATGGAGTTAAGCTAGAGCATGCAAGAATCATGGCCTAAATGCATGACTTACTTCTAGGCAAAATTGGGGAATGCAAGGCAAGTATACTATGCATGTAAGGGACCACAAATCTAACCAAAAACAGATGCAATAAGTGACCAAATAACATCCAAAAACTTCTGAAATGGGGCCAAATACAACCAAGCATACATGCTACCCTTATGAGCAAAAAATGAGGGCAAAAGAGAGATAAAGGGAGAGGGGTGTCCCTCCCCTATGCAAGACCTCAAAACCTCTTCTTTACCACTGAAAATCCTCTGGATTTTAGTGGTGAGAAGGCTAATATTCAAGGGTAACCAAAGCTTAGCAAAGAGAGCACCAAAAGGGCCAAACAAGGCCTAAGAGGGGGAGATCGACCCCCAACACCAAAACAACCTTAATGAAGTATCTTAAGCATGCAAATACAAGACTTTTTTCAGTTATACACAAAGTCTAAAACAATGAGCAAGATAGGCAAAAGTCTAGTGCAAAATTGGAGAATCTAAAGTAAAAGAGTTACCCTTGAAGAACCCTTGATGAACAGCAATTGCAGCCTTCTTCTTTTGATCAAAACCAGTCCAAAACCTCAAGAACAAACCCTCAAAGCCTCTCAAATTCAAAGTATGGTGTAGTAGTGTGTGTTTGTGTGCAAAACTAAGGATAAAATACACCTTAAGGCCCTCAAACACACACAAATGATGAGAAAGAGAGGGAGATATAGAGAGAGAAGGTATATCTCAGATGTATATATGTATATCCCTCTGTTTTTTTTTTTTTTTGCTAAACCCAACAAAGGAGGAGGATGGGATCTGTATATAGACAAAACAAAGGTTTGAAGCTTCTCAAAGAAGCTAAACAAAAAATGGGGTCAAAGGGGTCAAAGGGGGCAAGGCTTCCTGAGGAAGCTAGGATAGCTGGCAAGTTTCTTGAGGAAGCTTTGACAAAGGGTCAAGCTTCCTCAAGAAGCTTTGACCAAAATGGTGCAAAAAGGACAAAACAGCCACATGTATGCCCCGGGGCAGGTTTGGTGCATTCCAGCTGGCACAGCTGGCATGCACCATGCCTGAAAAAGGTAAAAAAGTGCTATCGGCCAGAAAAGGAGGTCACCGGCCAAACAGATGGCCGGCCGGCCATACTGAGTGCCGACCGGCCAATGGTATAATTCACCAATGGCCGGTAGCCTCAAAGCATGGCCAGTGCCCTCAAACCAAGGCCGGTGGGTGTCAGGGGTAGCTAACAAGCTACTTTCTACCCTCAGAAGCAAAAACACAAGTGTTTGGTGCAAAACCAAACACAGAACAGTCGAGTTGAGAGATCCTGAGGCAAGGCGCGTAGCCGAGACCTCCGGGAACTCAAAACGAAACACAAACATGAGTAATCACCGAGTGTTCGAGCGGTGACGTCCAAGTTTTGAGGACGGTCAAAAATGGGGTGTCTACACATGGCCTAGTCAATTCATTCTTTTGGACTAAATATTAGACTAATTGATTTACGATTTGTAGTTATGCTTTTTGGATGTTTAAAGTCATATTTTAGAGATTAGTGAATCTTATGATTTGAATACTTTTCTTGGTTTGTATGTTTGAGATTATTATCAGCTTGATATGATAGAAGTTGAGGATGGAAGTTAGTATGCAGGTTGTTTGGTGCATGGGTATTAGATTTTTTTTACTTGCTTCATAATTGTTGCTTCTGCATGGTTTGTTCACAGGTTGCATTTTATAAGCTACTGTCTGCATACTGTTAGGCAAGGTTATATTCCTGTATATATATTATATATTAAAAATAGCCTTCTATGGCATATAAAATTATGTCATGAAAAATGAAATGATTTATGACATGCAAGAAAATGCCATAAAAGATTATATACAACATACAAAGTATGTCATAAATATATTAAAAATGACTTTCTGTGGCATAAAAAATTATGTTGTGAAATGTGTAATGATTTATGACATGCAAGAAAATGCCGTAAAATATTATATACGGCATACAAAGTATGACATAAATATATTAAAAATAACCTTCTACGGTGTAATGGCTCGGACTCTAATACGTATCGGATTGATGTAAATTGGTGCCTGTCACCTTAAAATTTGTATGGTTGTCAGACTCTTGGCATTGATGGGTTGGCAAGTGAACCTTAAGTGTTGTAATTGAGGATCCTTGGGTGATGTTTAGAACCTTGATTGAAGGCTTAACAAGGTATTTAGATAAGAATAAATCAAAAGCCCCAAATTTGAGTTTTTATTTTTGATCAGCCTTCACTCTTTTGCCATTTTCTCTTTCCACACTTTGAATTTGGATGTAAGGCTAGAACCCTTGGAAAACGTTTTTTCGAGGCTTCGATTTGGACACAAGAACCACCT